GGATAATAAAGCTCGGGGTCCACTGGTGATAATAAACGAATTTCCTGGCGGAGGATGATGATGATGAAATTGGTGATGATAATGATGATGATGATGATGATGATGATGATGATGAAGATGACGATGATGACGATGATGATGATGATGATGGTGATGATGATGATGATGATGATGATGATGATGATGATGATGATGATGATTCTGGGCGATCGTGCGGCCCGGGAAAGACTGAGGAAGTGAGAATCCCATGCCGCAAGTTCGTGACTCGGGAAACCTGAAATGGTGAGAATCCCATAGCCCTGCCATACGCTCGTGACTTTCGAAAGCTGAAAACGTGAGCCCTCCATTGCCATGCTCAGCGTGCTTGCTGATGTTGCGAGTCAACATACGAAGATAATATGTTCGATTCGCAACTTCCCCCCGCGATGATCAAGTTCGGCCTCGCCGCCCCTCTCCACAATCAAATATGTCTGGCCCGGGAATAATGACCACTCAGGGGTTAATATATATATATATATATATATACACCCAAGGGGCGCGATCGAAAACGAAAATTACGCTACCGAGGAACCCCACATAGTTGTATTACGGCTGGAGTGTTGATAGCCTCCTCCTCCTCCTCCTCGTCCTCTCCCCCTCGCCATTAACATACTCCTTCGCACCCACTACGGTGTCGAGAAAGTGCTATCCTGCCTTGCCCTGAACAACCGGCTCGGATAGCGGCCGCGCTCAGGGGCCACCCCCTGCGCACCTCCTATGGTGTCGGGAAATGCCACTCATGCTATGCCCTGGACGACCGGCTCGGATAGCGGCCGCGCTCAGGGACCACCCCCTGCGCACCCCCTACGGTGTCGGGAAATGCCACTCCTGCTATGCCCTGGACGACCGGCTCGGATAGCGGCCGCGCTCAGGGACCACCCCCTGCGCACCCCCTACGGTGTCGGGAAATGCCACTCCTGCTATGCCCTGGACGACCGGCGCGGATAGCGGCCGCGCTCAGGGACCACCCCCTGCGCACGCCTACGGTGTCGGGAAATGTCACTCCTGCTATGCCCTGGACGACCGGCGCGGATAGCGGCCGCGCTCAGGGACCACCCCCTGCGCACGCCCTACGGTGTCGGGAAATGCCACTCCTGCTATGCCCTGGACGACCGGCTCGGATAGCTGCCGCGCTCAAGGACCACCCCCTGCGCACCCCCTACGGTGTCGGGAAATGCCACTCCTGCTATGCCCTGGACGACCGGCTCGGATGGCGGGGACCACCCCCTGCGCACCCCCTACGGTGTTGGAAAATGCCACTCCTGCTTTGCCCTGGACGACCAGCTCGGATAGCGGCCGCGCTCAGGGACAACCCCCTGCGCACCTCCTATGGTGTCGGGAATCGCCACTCATGCTATGCCCTGGACGACCAGCTCGGATAGCGGCCGCGCTTAGGGACCACCCCCTGTGCACCCCCTACGGTGTCGGGAAATGCCACTCCTGCTATGCCCTGGACGACCGGCTCGGATAGCGGCCGCGCTCAGGGACCACCCCCTGCGCACCCCCTACGGTGTCGGGAAATGCCACTCCTGCTATGCCCTGGACGACCGGCGCGGATAGCGGCCGCGCTCAGGGACCACCACCCCCTACGAAATGCCACTCCTGCTATGCCCTGGACGACAGTCGCGGATAGCGCCGCGCTCAGGGACCACCCCCTGCGCACCCCCCACGGTGTCGGGAAATGCCACTCGTGCTATGCCCTGGACGACAGGCTCGGATAGCGGCCGCGCTCAACCACCCCATGCGCACCCCATACGGTGTCGGGAAATGCCACTCCTGCTATGCCCTGGACGACCGGCTCGGATAGCGGCCGCGCTCAGGGACCACCCCCTGCGCACCTCCTACGGCGTCGGGAAATGCCACTCCTGACATGCCCTGGACGACCGGCTCGGATAGCGGCCGCGCTCAGGAACCACGCCCTGCGCATCCCCTACGGTGTCGGGAAATGCCACTCCTGCTATGCCCTGGACGACCGGCTCGGATAGCGGCCGCGCTCAGGGACCACCCCCTGCGCACCCACTACGGTGTCGGGAAAAGCCACTCCTGCTATGCTGTGCTGTGCTGTGCTGAGCTGAGCTGTGCTGTGCTGTGCTGTGCTGAGCTGAGCTGAGCTGTGCAGTGCTGTGCTGTGCTGCGCTGTGTGAGAAGGGGAGGAGGGAGGTGCGGGAGACGCGGGTGCGACGAGGCAGAGAAGAAAACCAGAACCCCACTAAGCATGTGGGGAAAAACGGGGATCGAGGGTTCGGGCTAAACGCGTTGAGTGGCCCGCGAGCAGATAGGATCGAACAGCCATGATATGATTGCTGTTCTTGTTGGGTTCCCGCTTCCAAACAAAATATTGTCGATCCCCCCTCCGGTAACCATTGTATTCTTAAATTAGAATGATCCTCCCGGGGCTCGCACATTGCTTTTACAACAGAATGATGGGCGTCACCAAACTGGCCCCCTGGCCCCCAGGTCACAACAACAACAGCGGCTCCCGCCTGATTCCTCCACAGAGTGTAATGAGAAATCGCGGTCTCGCGCGGGACTTCCTCACAATTGATACAGGAAACGCTCTCCTGCATGGGACTTCATCGCTATTTATTCAGACACCGCGCCCTCGACACCCAGGCATCACGCTATCGCTTTGGCCTGTCTAACGATTTACTTGGGAACCTCGCTATCGTCTGAGACTTCCTCGCGATTCATGCAAGACTCACGCTTCAACAACCCGCCTGCTCGACCTGGCCGCTTGGGCCCGCGTTCCCGACCCGCCCGTGTGGGTCTGCCCGCCTGGTTTTGCCACGTGTTTTCTGTTCCGACCCCCCCCCGTTATTTTCTTTGGTGTCCCATCCTTATCCCTCCCCCTTGTATCCGCCCTTTCTTCCGCTGTTGTTTTAAGTGCTGCGCGAAATGCACGTGGCATTTAAGAAAGATATACCCCCAAGGGGGTATGATCGAAGACGATGCGGGCGGGTTGATAAAATGAGTATTGTTGTTGCTGTTGTTGAGGATGTTGATGTAGTTGGTGTGTGTGGTCTTGCTGTTATAGGTGTTGCTGCTGTTGCTGTTGGTAGTGGTGATGTTGCTGTTGTCGTTGCTGGCGTTTGTGTTGTTGTTGCTGTTGTTGTTGCTGTTGTTGTCGTTGGTGTTGTTATTGATGTTGTTGTTGCTGTTGTTGCCGTTGGTGTTGTTGTTGGATGTTGTTGATTGTTTGCTGTTTGTTGTTCATTGTTTGTGTTGTTTGTTGTGCGTGTTGTCGTCGTCCCGCCCGCGAACCGACCCGCGACCCACCCGCGACCCACGCGCGACCCACGCGTGACTCACCCGCGACCCACCCGCGACACACGACGCGTGTGAGGGGCGCGCCAGAATGAAGGCACCGGGAGGAAGGAGGGAGGGGGAGGAGGAGGAGGAGACAAGAGGAACGCGGGGCGTTGTCTTTTCAAAACGAGGACCCAACGCCGAAGGATGGTTGGGAACAAGAATAAGGGCAAGGAGAGCCTGGAAGACAGGATGGAGGGAGGACACGAGCGACCAGCTCTTGAATGCGAGTGACGCCGAAAGAGTGGCCCGGGAGCGGCTCGGGAGGCCCCGGGGGGGGCGCAGCTTGGAGACTCGAAGCCGTGATTTCTGGGCCCGGATGTCCTTCCCCAGGTAGGCGTGTGTATATGTGTATAATTTTATATATGCATATAGATATATCTATATAGATGCATACACGCTTATGCGTATATGCACACAGGTGCATATCCATATATGTATATACATATATATATATATACATATATACACATATATATATATATACTAGAACCACGCGCGCGCTACGCGCGCGCTTTGGTTCTAGTCACGGTACCACTGCGCCAGCGGGCGCCGAGGCAAGTATCGCTCCGGTGGTCACGGCTCCCTGGCGCCGAAGAGTGCCCAAGAGGCGCCAGGAGTCTCTGAGAGCCCTCTGAAGAATGCACGAAGGAGGCGAGTGGGGGGGGGGAAGGAGGGGATGGAGGGCGGAGCTCCATCTCTTGGTGGCCCCACGCATCCTGGCCTGCCCCTCCACAGAGGCTGACCCTCCTCCTCTGACGAAAACCTGGCAAAATCATTCGCCAGACTCCTTCTCAGGCTCTTCAGATGCAGTTTTTCATCCTGGATCTGTTTTTGGACGCCCAAGGGCTCAGAAACAACCCCCAGACGACTATAACAACGAAGTGCCTCCAACGCCGAAGCCCACAAACCTCGACGCGGCGGCTGCCGAAGCAGGAGCTTCGATGGGTATGGTCCGCCGCGGAGCAGCGCGGCCGCGGGCGCCGGGGCCGTCGGCGAGGCCACGACGAAGGCTGGTTGGAAAATCATGGCCCCTGGTGCCCGGCGAGGCCACTCGAAGGAAAGCAACGTGAGACACGGCGTTGAGGCATCCTGGGTGGAGGAGGAGGGAGGAGCAGGAGGAGGAGGAGGAGGAGGAGGAGGAGGAGGAGGAGGAGGAGGGAGGAGGGGGAGGAGGGAAAGAGGAGTGGGAGAAGGAGGGAGTGGGGGGAGGAGGAGGGGTGGGGGAGGAGGAGGAAGGAGGAGGAGAGAGAGCAGGAGGAGGAGAGAAGGGAGGAGGAGGAGAGGAGAGGAGGAGGAGGAGGAAGAGGAGCGAGGAGAGGAGGAGGAGGAGGAGGAGGAGGAGGAGGAGCAGGAGGAGGAGGAAGAGCAGGAGGAGGACGAGGAGGGGGAGGAGGAGGAAGGGGTGGGGGAGGAGGATGGGGGTGAGGAGGAGGAAGAGGAAGAGGACGAGGTGGAGGAGGAGGAGGAGGAGGAGGTGGCGCGACGTTTACCAAGGAGCGGAGGGGGGAGGAGAGGCAGGAGGATGAGGACAAGGAGGAGGAAGCCACCTAGGAAATCATGGGCTCCGAAGCGTGCGCTCGGTGTCCTCGCGGTGCCGCGCGCGGTCACGCTGACCGATCGGTCACATCTGCTTGGCTATGAGGAAACATCGCCAGTCGCAGTGGACATCGCCCACGGAGTTCCACGCGATCTTGGAGGCCCAGATGGCGAGCATGCGATCCAAGTCGGATGGCGGGATGACGTGCGGACGCGCGAACAGGGAGTCGCAGAGGGCCAGAGTGTTGCTAGTACTGGGAGCGTTCGAACAGGAAGGCGCAGAGATCACGACGAACCAATGGCCTCCGCACATGGGGCCGCGGAACAGGTACGCGTGCGGACGGAAGAGGCCTTCTGTGGACGTGTGGTCGTCAAAGGGAGAGCCCAAACGGCGCTGCAGATCGCGGGGTGTCAGCGGCAGCATGGAGAGGTCGGCGCGCGTGAAGTTGCATGATAGTACGGCCACGTCGTAGTTGCCACTGTGATCCTCAAGCAGGTGCTCGATGCGGTCCCCAATGCGGGCTGCGAGGGCTGTCTGCTCAAACCGCGTCTGGTCCACAGGTGTGAATGGACGATGGGTAGAGAGAGATGCTGCGGCAAGCGCGTGGTTGAAGGCATGGAGGCCGCAAATGCTGCCTCGCTGCGTCCCCGCGGCGGTCGTCGCACCGGTCTGCGGCGCATTGTGCCACGTCGGGGTCGAGTCGAACGGCCAGAGCGGCTCAGGGGAGGGAAGTCCAGCATCGTGAAGGAGAAGCCACGGAGGAGGGCCACGGGTGAGCTGTCGGGCACGCTTGGCGAGCGGACCGATGGTTGCGTCGCGAGATTCCGTGGGCCTGGAAGCGGAGCTTCCGCATGGCACTGTCGAACATAGGGGCGGTGGCCGGAAAGACACGCAGCCGGTGGTCGCCGAACGAGGTGCGGACGAAGTAACTTCTGCAGCGGGCGTCTCAGCGGGAAGCGGCGGGCTTCCCTCTGGAGGGCGCGGCGCACGGCATCTCCGCGCGCGCTTCGCGGGGGGGGCCGGTGAGTCGCAATTGGGCGTGAACACTTCGTGGGTCACTGTGTATGCGTGGGCGGCCGTCTCGTCGAAGGTGTATTGCGCGGTGGCGTGGTGTCTAAAATACGCTGTGCGCATGCCGTGCAGCTCCGCACCGGACTCTCGTTCGCTGTCAAGAGCGCGTGCCGGCTCGCACGATTTGGTCTCGTGCAGGGCAGGGACTTCTTGCGTAGCGGTGGCGGCGACGTCTGCCTCTTTCGGTCGGGGTGCCTGGCCGCCCCCTCTGTGATCTACGTCCACACTCTCTCGAGCGGCGCTACTGTCAGGGCCAGGTGCGCGCGCTGCCTGCAGCAATGACGCGTCTACGATGTTGGCGGTGAATGCACGTGCAGGGCAACTCCCCGTAGCTGGCATGAAGCCTTGCTCCGTCGGATGCGTCTCTTCTACCAAGACCATCGTTGTTTCAAAGCTCGACCCTCGAGAGATGGCAACGTAGAGTTGGCCGTGCGCGAAAACAGGCCGCGGAAGATAAACTCCCAGACGACCTTGCAGGGACTGGCCTTGCGATTTGTTGATGGTAATGGCCCGGGCCGGTCTCACGGGGCATTGATGTCTTCGGAGGACAAAAGGGAGCTCGCAATCGCCGCAGGACTCGCAACAAATCCGCGGGATGAGCTCGACGTTGCCTGCGAAAGGGCCTGCGACTATACGGGCGACGAGGAAGTACGACCGCAGTGTTTCTACAACCAGCCGCGCTCCGTTGCACAGGCCGCGGCGCGGGGCGAAGTTCCGAAGGGGGATCACTAAGGAGCCGCTGCGCAAGCGCAACTCGTGCGGCGGGGGCCCAGCTGTTTGGATGCTGTTGAGAAACTCGGTGGTGTAGGTATCACCGTGATCCACTTCGGCGATGGCCACGTCGTGGCTCCGGGACACTACTTCGGCATCGCGGGGCAACTTCGCGTGCATGAGGGCGTTGAGGGCGTCAGCAGCATCGTTCGTTGGCGTCACAACGGCACGGGAAGCATAATACTGGTACCATTGCGCAGGCTCTACCGTGGTAAAGCCCTCGCACACCCACTCCAACAAATCTTCTGGTCTCCAAGAATGGGGGGCCAGAACGGCGTCGGGGAGTTCGACGACGCACGCCTCATACTCTCTGTCTACGTTTTCGAAGGGTGGAGAGGCGCGCGCGCCGTCCCCGACGCGGAGGCAGAATTCGGCGAAAGCTGCGTCCACAGTGGCGCGCATGTCCCGGTGGAGTCTGAACTTCCGCACGGCGACGGAGTCCCACCACGGCATCGCAGCCAAGGAGTGGTTGAGGATGGCGTCTCGGTCTAATTAGCGCAGGACAGAAGGGATTTGACGAAAGGCTCCTCCAAAGACTACGGTCTTCCCCCCGAAGGGTCTCACGTTTCCGAGGAGTTCTTGCAGACGCGCGTCCACTGCCTCGAACATGGCGCGCGAGGCCGTGGGCGCCTCGTCCCACACGATGACGGCCGAGTCGCGAATAAGTCTTACAGCTGCGGATTGGGCCTTGATGTTTGCTTTGCAGCCTTCAAGCGGAACAGGCACGGGCAAGCGGAAGCGGGAGTGCGCAGCACGACCTCCAGGGAGCAGCAAGGCTGCGATACCGGACATGGCCACCGCTAGAGGGATACGACCAGACATCCGGACGTAGTGTAGAATATGTTTATATACGCGCGTCTTGTCGGTTCCCGCTGGGCCATCAATATACACAATGTTGGCGTCATCGGTGTCCGTGGCCTGGTCTACCCTCGTTTGGACGAAATCGAATATCGCTTGCTGGTCTTCGTTGAGAGTAAGTTGCTCGAACATGTGTTTTTCTTTGCAGAGCTCCGCAGGCGCGCGCAATTCCCGCATGCACTCTTGCGCGGCGCGTTCCGCGGGCTGAAGCGCAGCGTCCGGCGAAGGGGGCGGCGCGGCGAACGCAGCCAGAGCGCAGCCGTACAGGGCCAGACTCTCGTCGACGGCACGGTAGACGGTGGATGGATCTACGGCCTTGTGGCGTTCCGACAAAATGTGTAGGAAGGACGTCCAGAAACCAACTTTGTCGCTTACGTCAAGCCACACCAGGAACTGGGCGAACATCTCGCAGATGCGGGGCAAGCTGCGCACGATTCTGCAAGCTTCAGCGAGGGCAGCGGCGGCTTCCACATCGTCGGCCAGCAGTCCAAGTTGACGGGCATGTTCCTGGAAGGTAGGAGGAACGTCGTCACTCGGAGTCCGCGAGAGCGCTTCCCACGAGGTGGCTCCTTCGCCAGGCACGTGCAGCAAGAGGAGGCGCAGGTAGCACAGCTCACCAGCCGGCGGTTTCACGTCCGCTCTCCCGCGCGGTGCTCAGACGGCGGGAACCATGGCGCGCCGTGCTCTGTAGAAATGGTTGGGGAGGGGAACCCGGGCATTCGCGAAGTGTCCGTCGGGGCATTGCAGAAGGAGGCGGGGCAAAGGACGTTCCGGGTTGGACGGTCGGGGAAGGGAGCGGGGGACGCACGTGGTCGATCAGGCGTCAATCCCATCACCCATGGGGGGGGGGGCAGGGCTGGTTCCGGACGGGGCGTTCTGGAACGTATGCGGGGGAGGGCCGTGCAGGGTTATCTTTTCGAAAGCGGTCTGTCCCGTTCCTTCCCTTCCGCTGCGCGGGGGCAGATAGCTCCGGCCACGGCGACTTTCGAGCGCCACCAAAACTCCATATAGGGGAAGGCCATATCGGAACCAGGCGGAAGCCGTACTGCATACGATAACCGGCCGATGACGTCATGGTTGCGTGCTTGTCGTTCCCGGCGCAGCCAGCTCGCGCGCCTGCCGTCCCATCGGAAGAAGTGGGGAACCTCAAGGTATTTCAAAGATAAGATCAGGGCACGGTCTGGCGTGTCGGGGTTGGACGCGGTCTCCGCGTTCAGGGAGAGCCAAGCTTCCAGCTTCGTCTGTCTGGAGAGCGCGGCGTCCACAGCGGATCCCTCGGCGCCGGCCTCGAACTGGATCGATTGCTCCAACGGTAAATGGACGGGAAGTCTGTCGACCTGGTGGCTACGGCCGTGCATGTGAAAACCGAGCAGGCGTCGCGTCGCCTCCGGGGCGCCGACGTAGCGGCAGTCCAAGGGCTCCTGGACCTCATTCCGCGCATGCTCTAGGCATGCGCGGTCGGGGCCCTTGCACGTGCATGTATAAAGATACTTGATTGGACGGAGGGAAGTGCAGACTTCTACGTTGATATGGCAATCCATGAGCTCGAGCAAATACGGGTTGCACGGGACTACGCTGCGGGTGTCGAGCACACCGTTCTTGACTGTCAAAGGTGGCGTCGTCTCTCGTCGGCGGTATTCGGGGTAGCCGTTCACATTGAAGTTGGTGTCGTTTCGGAAGTTTTTGGGGCACCGCTTAGTGCACAGGCCATCCTCCATGCAAGGGCAATTAGGATTGAGCGCCCCACAGGGCCCGTGCACCATGTGACGGTCCACCAAATTGTACAAGCCTTGGCGCGTCGAAGGGTCGGGAATCTCGGCCGACGCGAGATGGTCGACTTCAGCGGCAGTCTTGGGCTTGTGTTCTTCAGCCAAGATCAGTAGGATGTGCGCGCGTGGGAGGCCGCGCTTCCGGAATTCCACCACGTGGGCATGCGCCACCACTCGTCCGAGGACGTGCTTTTTAGTCAGTTCGTGCAGCAGGCGTTTGAGTTTGCAATGGAATACGCGGGCAGCGAGGTCAGGCCTGTTTGCCGCGGTTTCTCCAGGCCGCAAGTTGGCATGGACCTCCGGCCAGTTGGGGTTGGCGGTTGCTGTGATGAACAAGTCGGGCCGTCCTTTTGCAGCGACCAAGGCCATGGCGTCGAGGTATAGCTGATGAAGGGCGCGGGGCGAACCGCCAAAGGATGCCGGCAGGATGATGGGAGTTCCGACGGCGACGCGAGGGCGCGGGGCTTCCGAGGTAGAAGGTGGCGGTTGTGGCGGTGCCAGGATTGCTGACTGTGGTGGCTGTTCGGCGTCGGCGGCGCTGAGGTGGTCGAGTAGGCCTCGCAGCGTGTCCACTCGGAGTTTGTCTTGGTTCCTGAGAACCCATTGGAGGCGTCGGCTTTCGACTTTGGCGTGCGCATCGACCACATGCTGCTGGAACAAGCGACCCGTGCTGTGAGGTAATTCGACAATATTCGACTCGGACGGTTCGCGTTGCATCAGTCGGTACGCGTAAAACTCTCGCAGGTGGATCTTCCGAGGTTTGTTGGGGCCGATCGCATCCGTCTGCAGCGCGGTCGAGTAGCCCACCGTGCCCGCAACGTGGATCAGAGGGTAGGTCAGGGGGTCTACGTGTTCGGACAAGAAAGACAGTTCTTGAGTTGCAGAAGACCCGTCGGGGCGTCGAGCATATACAGAGACGTAATGAGGCGGCAGAGGTCCCTCCCCGACGACGGCACAAGCAACTTCTGCGGCCGACGGCGCGCCGTACCGGCGAGGGCCCTTTTCTACGCCTCCTGCGAAGCGGAGGACGTGCTCGCGAGCAGAGCAGCCATGACTCTCACGGGAGGCTTGGATGACGTCGTGCATATTCCGGAAATGTGAAGGGTAGGGGTTGGCAGCAGTGTGGGTGAACATGGTAAGCAGGAGTTCCAGGAGGGGCGGCTGCAAGTCGGGGAACGTCTCTGCTCTGGAAGCAGTCGCCTCCGCGGGATCATATATGCACAGTTGGGCGTATTTGGGACGTCTACCGACAGCGGGGCACAGGGCCCCGATGGCTCGAAATGCGCGGCCGTGCAGTACGAACACGTGGGGGCCTCTGCCAGTCGTCAGGTCCAGAGTTGTCTTTCGTGCTGCTACGGAGGTTTGGCTGTTGAACGAAGCGAAGCCTAGCGCGCAGTTGCAGGAACGGATGTGTTGCATGAAATGGTCATGGGAAGGGTCCGGTCGCAGCAGGATCGCGTACTGAGGGGGTGCGGGGGGCAGCGCTGGGATGGTTGCCAGCGCGCCATATTTGCAGCAAGCTCCGAACTCTTTTCGGCGCGAATCTGGTGATCGAGCGCGCTCCGTCAAGAAATGGAGCGCGCCGCAGTTGCCGCATGCGCCTTCAACCTGGCCCGTGGGAGAGAGCATCGCTTTAGGCACACGATTCGGAGCCCAATCGTCTTTGGGCCACCACCCTGCGCGAAGGCCGGCGCGCGCGCCGACAGACGTGCCAGGCACGGGGTCGACGAACCAATTTCGATGAGCAGGGCAGGTTGGTCGTTCGGTAGACTGTGGCCGTGATGCTACTGGAGAGGACTTCTGACGACACCATGGCACGATGCACTGGGGGGCGTCACGCTTTCGGAGATACGCACGGACGGCGGCGGCGACTATCTTGCGGACTGCGAGCGAGGGGGTTGCAGAAGGACGGGCGCCCCTGCAGGGGCGCGGGGCCGCGGCGAGAAGGCGGGGAGGACGCGGTGCTGCAAGGAAGGCGGCATGCTGCTGATGATGGCTGCAGAACCCAATAAGGTACATGGCTTTGGTCAATTTCTGGTCGCATCGGGGGAACGAACACTTGGGCTTCGAGCAACGTTCGCACAAGCCGTCGTTGTGAGGTACTGCTCGCCAGACGCCATGCCCGCGTCGCTGCGGCGCTCGGCAACAGAACTGCTGAGGACCTAGACAAGGGGGGCCAGAGAGCGAACATTGCCTACACGTCAGACCGGCGGTGTGCAGTCCAATGCGGTGAGTGCATCCAGTAGACTTGTTTCGGCAGGGTTTCCCTTTGCGCACGCAAGCAGCGCAAAGGCCTTGAGCTGATTTCCGCAACGCTACGCCAGTGCACCCAGGGGAGCGACACGCGCGACCAGCTTGATCACAGGACCGTTTGGCGCTCGCCTGTGCCGGCTCTGCCCCACAGGAATGGCAGAATCCGGCAGAACCAGGCGTGGAGCGGCCAGCGCAACCCGGCGTGGCGCATGGGAAGCACGATGTGAGGCAGAGGCAGCATAGCGAATCGGCTGGCGAATCGACGATGTTGCTACAAGAGGCCGCTTGGCAAAAGTGCAGCGTGGGTGGCGGATGGCATGCGAGACAACGCAGGCCGCGGGCCCTGGGAACGCGGAAAGCACGCCCGTCAGTGGCGCACGGGAAAACGCCGGCGACGCACATGGGGCACACGTAGCCTTCGGCAGGGGATGTTCCGGCAGGCGCGGTCGCAGGGCAGCGCGGGGCTGAGCAGACTACGAAGGTGTGCATCGAAAGCGCGGCCGGGGGCGTCATTGCCAAGTCCACGGTCGCGCTCTGCGGGCTGGCGCCGCCACAGAAAGGGCGCACGTCTGG